AAAATATACTTGGGTGAGGCTTTAAAAAATAAATTTAATTCATCATATATTTTTATTTGCTACAATATAGTCCTGTCTTTATTCCCTACTTTAATGTCATCACAAAATCAAATAGTCTAACTTGCAAACCAGGAGTAATTTTAGTCATCCACCTCCCTCATTTCCACATCTAATTAATCAATAAGTCATATCAAACTTCAAAGCTTTCTCTCAAATCTTTCTCTACTTTCCATCTCTATTGCCAGTCTTTACTTCAGGTATGAGTCACTTTTGTCTGGAGAATTACAATGGTCTCCTAATTGCAAGAGTAATTTAAAAACATTTATCAACTGACATGGCACAGGAACAATCAGAATGGATACCAGTCATAGACAGCACACTGGTGCTTTTCAGCTATCTTTTATCCCTTGCCTAATTGGCCTCCTTGTCTCCAATATTCACTTGTTTCGATCCATTATCCACAATTTAGCTACTGTGATTTTTCTACAGCATAAAGTTGATTGTGTTACTCCTTGACTTAAGTTCCTTTAACAGTTAACCATTACCTACAGCAGTGATGGCGAACCTATGACACGCGTGTCAGAGGTGACACGCGAACTCATTTTTTTGGTTTATTTTTCTTTGTTAAATGGCATTTAAATATATAAAATAAATATCAAAAATATAAGTCTTTGTTTTACTATGGTTGCAAAAAAATTTCTATATGTGACATGGCATCAGAGTTAAGTTAGGGTTTTTCAAAATGCTGACACGCCGAGCTCAAAAGGTTCGCCATCACTGACCTACAGCATAGTCTACTGTGAGCAAGGTCCTTGAGGATCCAGTCCCCACCTAATTTTTAAAGTTCCAAATCTCATTACTCTCTCAAATTCATTGCCCTACAGTCACTCTGAACTCCTTCCAGTTTGGTAAACATACCATAAGCTCTTTGAGATTCAAGTGTGTGGTCAACAAGTCAAGTGTCATCTCTGGAATAGGAGCAGAATATGCATTCCCCTAAAAGACCCCAATTATGATTCTGAAGTTACACCCAAGCATCATGAAAATCAACATGAGATAAGCTCCAAGGCCAAGAGGCAAAGCAACCTACTCTACGGGCCACCAGCCAGAGGTCTCTTCTTCCTTACTTCCCTTTCATTTTGAGTTTTCTGTTTATTAAACAATCAGCCACTTTATATTACAGACACACTTCTTCATTTTTTTTGACTAGTTGGCTAACAAGATAGTCACCAAGAAGTGGATTCTCAAAGTGATGCTGTTTCCTATCAATTGTGACAGATTATTAGCTACCTCTCCCACAAAACAAGGCAGAGCTGCTCTCAGGGATCAGAATTCAGTCTGCTCAGTCACTCGTTCAACTCATTGTTGGGAACCTCAGGCAGTGAACTCAGTGCTCCACATACAGTACTAAGACAGTAATGGTCCCTGTTCTTATGAGATTTCAATCTAAAGATAACAGATAAATACAAATTACGACAAGGATACAAAAAGTATTCAGTTAAAGAGAATAAGGGGAACCCTGCATAGTCAGAGGTCAGCCAAGGTTTCCCTGAGTAGATGATACTTAACCTGAGGCCTGAAGGATGACAAGACATGAGTCATGCAAAGATCCAGGGGAAGCACAATCTAGGCAGAGTTAGTCTCCACAGAGAAAAACAAAACTACAGTGGCTTTCTCAGATTAGTGCCTACTAATGGCATCTCACCCACTTATACAAGGAAAACAATCTATGTGGATATCTGTATCTTTGTAGAGAGAAATGAGATAACCCAATTATAAGTATGTTTGTGAATAGTCTGATTGAAATTCATATTTAGGATCACATTCTCTTAAATGTGCTTTGTGAATTTCCCTTTACATGTCTTTGTTCACAATGGCCTTCCCATCTGCAGTGCTCATTGCCAACATCTACTGCAAAATTACTACCATTTTTTGAAAGCCTGCTTCAGCCCACTCTTCCCCTTGGAAACTTCTCTGACCACTCCAACCTTCTGAAAGTATCGTCTCCTCTGAGCTCCTACAGCCCTTCTACCTTTCTGTGTGAGTCCTTTTCCATAGACTATTTCCTTCCAGGAACACGTGTCTTCCTCTCTTCCTATGGTTTAAGAACAGGCATCAAGCCTGGCCAGTTTTGCTCAGTGGTTAAGCATTGACCCATGAACTAGGAGGTCACAGTTTGATTCCCAGTCAGGGCATATACCCGGGTTGCAGGCTTGATCCCCAGTGGAGGGGAGGGTGTGTGTGTGTAGGAGGCAGCCAATCAATGATTCTCTAATCATCGATGTTTCTATCTCCATCTCCCTTCCTCTCTGAAATCAATAAAAACATTTTTTTAAAAAGAATCGGCATCAAGTTTTTGTGGCCAACTTCCAATTCTTTCCTCAGTGTTTGATGGATAAGTTATAACATTTGTTCAGCAAACCCTTTCAAATTGAAGTAGACCACCCACATACCTCAATAATTCCGCATAACAAAAGCCCTACATAGGAGTTAGGATCATTTGAGTTTTTATGAAGGAATTTGACTGGTGGATATATAGATAAATACATACAGAAAATTATCTAAAGTCAAACATATTCTCTCCTCTATGTGAGTTCCTTAGAACACTTGCCATGTAAGCAAAAGCTACAGTAAGATTTCCTCAACCAGAGCTCAGGGACTAGCAGTTATGAGAAAATCTACAAAGTTAAGGAAAAAAACCCAAACTTAAAGTTTTTCCCATTTCAAAAAACAAGGCAATGTTCCAAACATTTTTACAGTACAAAAATTTTATTTTTTGTTAGGATAATTTAAAGTTTAAAACTGAAGTAGGCATATTCATTTTACAAACAAGATATTCTTTCATAAGTAAGACCATTAAAAACAGTAAACAAAAAAGCTGTCTTTACAAAAAGCTCTGTGCATAGCAACTTTATACCGTATATAACTGACAAAGCAAAATGAGAAAAAGGTAACTATACAGTTTGAAAATGAGACCTTACTGTACAAAAGGTAGAGAAGATAATGGTTTTTAAACCATGCATATTGAAATGTGCAAAGAAAAACTGGGGAAAATACGATGTTATAACAAAAAAAAGTGAGATAAATAATGAAGTAAATTGTCCCTTTAAATAAAAAATCTTACACAGCTCCTCTTATAAAGATAGGATAGAACTTGTAGTTACCTATAGAAATACTTGTCTTCCAAGTGGCACAAAAATAACCTGGGACCAGAATGATTCAACAGCAATGACTAAACAGGACAGAGTAGCTTTGTTTGAAATTTATTAGTACACTAAAAATAATCCTTACACACATTTATACAATTAAATAAATCTGTTGCTGCCAAGGTTCTAGCTGAATGGTCAAGGTGTCTGGTATTTAGTTACACACATTTTTTTTTCGGTGTAAAGCTACCAACAAATTCTACAATCATTTTGAAGACAGTACTGCACTCATCTTCATGCAAGAGCAAAATTCACAGATTCTAAAAGCAATGCTACTTTAAAAAAACATTTCCTTATGTTGGATTGGCTCAAATCCAGGTCTAGACATGCTTGAGTTTGTTCTGCCTTCCCTTCTGGATGGTAATGTTTGTGTTCTACACACTTTCCCCTCCCATACGATTTTTCACTAGGGAACTTTCTCTCGTGTGTTTCCCTATATTTTGGCGCTTCAAGCCCTGACTGTGAGGGACTGTCAGCAAAAGTTATGAGCATGTCAGGTCTCCAAAACCTTGGATTCTCCTGTGCATAGAAATAATATTTGGGTCATATTGGGTAATTCCAGAATAGATTACAGGAAAATAAGACTGATGGGGTTGAGTAGCTGTGGGCATGTATCATCTAAAATTGGCTCAGATGCACTAAAGGTGTTTTTCCATGAGAGCTGCATCAATTTCTAATGTTAGAAACCCAAACCGGAGTCTGTGTATAGACGATATTGTGTGCCAATGAGTCAACAAGGAAAACCCTGACCTGGAAAAAAATGAGATCCTTATTGGCAATCCAAATAAGTCTGGATGCATCCCCAGGATCACAGAGGCTCCTGCAATGTTTCTCCCCCTCAGAGCCACTCCCAGAACTACGGACAGCCCACCGCAGCCCTGGGTAACTGGGCTGCCTGGGACACAGATGTCCCCAATCTCTGACCCTGCTAAAAATCTGGGTTTCCATTTTTTTTTTAACACCAGGAGAAGGATTTAGGGCTTTTAACATTTCTCTTCATACCCCATCCCATTCATGGCCTGGAAACTGTGTCAAGTTGGATACATACTTTTTTAAAGAGTTTAATGCCGTGAGAGGGGAAATCTAAAGAGAGAAGAAAGGACTTGACATTCTAAGAGTACAAGGAACAGATTCACCTGTTTCTGAAGTTCTGTGGGGCTTCTACCTCAGTGCTGAGCCAGGGGACCCAAGAGGAGGGAGTGCGTGGCTCTGTGAAGACCCAAGGGCGGCTGGGTGGGGGAAGTCACGTGGCTTTGGCTCTTCTTTCAGGTGAGACTTCGTTCCCTGCGGTGAAAAGCTGGGATGCACTAAAACTTGGGAATTCTCTGCACTGCTCAAGGGACAATGTTGAAAGCTAATATAAGTTTTTTTGTTTTTGTTTTTGTTTTTAATTTCACACAGAGTGAATACTAAAAGGGACTTGTAGACTATTTAGAAAGCAGATGGGGATGGGAATGAATTTGTGGGCTTGAGTGTTTTGTATTTGCATGGATTTGAATCTTTGTTTCTGTTGGGCTGTTCTGTAGGAATCTACATCAGGTACCTGTTCTTGCCCATGGGTCAATAAAATGATGGAAAAAGAGGGGATGCAGGATGGGGGGAAAGAGTCTAGTAAGTAACTGCAGTAATAATCACACATCTTTTAAACTTGTTACTACATGTTTGCATCAGTTTCATTTTACATCAGAAAGAGAACTTCCTCTCTTCCAAAAAGGTCTTAATTTCTACCTCTACTTACAATAAGTTACACGTTTATTTATTTAAATAATTGTAAAACATTTTAAATTTTTCCCTTTTTTTAAAGAGATTAAACTATAAGCAAACACACATACAACAACATGTCATTCAATTCGGGTTTCATTTTAAGAAAGTCTTCCATGCTGGTACCCTGTTTTGTTCAGTTTTTTTCTGCATAAACTAAATTGGTATCTGAAAGGCTTCATAGAAAATAGAAACTTTCAACTTTTTTTTCCTACAAAGAAAAACAAATAGTATCCAAAATATTAAGCTTGAATTGTTTGCCAATTTTTTTAAATATTTTACAAACATAGGAAGGTGGTTCTTATAATGTTCATAACAAAGAATTGCATTTCTGCTTTTAGCACTGACTACGTCAATGACATCTTTTGTCCTTGTCCCCAAGAGGGTCAGTTTGTATAGCCACCATCAGAGCTACACAAGGAAGGAGAGACCAGGTAACAAGCAGCTCCTCGTATACCCAAATCTGTCCATCCGTTCATTTGGGGGGCACAACTCTCCCCAAAGACCTAATAGTGCTTTCTTCATTGTTGGTCCATCAGAGTAAGTAGTTTTGTGCTATAAGAAAGCAGCTCTTCCTCTTCTTTACATCGGGGGCACGACAAGTCCGGTCATGGCTGCAAGGAAAGACGGACACAGGAATGAGTCTCTGAGGTTTTTTACATTGAAGGCTATAACCCAGAGAGGGGGCAGGCGATGGGACTGACAGGTCTGATGCAATCCAGAGAGATGGTATCAGGTTTGGTCTAGCAGAAAGCCTACAGAGGTCCCAAACCTTCCTGATCACTAAGTACAAGCAAAGCTTGTTGAAGTTTTGCCTGGGAGGCCAAGAGTTATGTTTTCTTTTATATTAATGGGTTGTGCACATGACATGGTGGATATAAACATGTAAACTAAATTGTACTATATGTATGACATATTTTTCATTATTAGACTAAAATAATTTCTAGATTATACAGTTCCAGACCCACTTAGTTGGAACAGGAAAGAATGCTCCAGGGGCTGAATCTATTGAGTTACTTATGAGGCATCATTTATAACAAGTCAGACTTCCTATCCATCCTAGGTTTCTACCCATTCTAGCTGAAATTTGATTAGCTTTTCCCCTAACGAGCTCATCTTCCTTTGGTGCTCACTGCTGCCCTGTGATGCTCGGTCACTACTAAATGCTGATCCACTGGAATAGAGGACTTAATTTAGTTCCTAATTTGGGAGTCCCTCCAACCTCCACTCTTCATCCCCCGCCCAAGCACAGTGTGCAACGTCTCCTCCATGTAGTCAAGAGGATGTGGACAGCCTGTCTGGGTGGCATCAGGTCCAAGCCTTTCCCTTGAGGTGGGAGATAAAGCAGCATCAGCACAGTGTAGAGAAGTCACACAGAGATGCACCCCCCTGGCCTTGGCGTTCAGGTGATAAACCCATAGATTTTTCACATTCTTGGAAACTGGCAGAATCATTTTCTTGCATTAAATCTTCAAACTATATCTAGAATTTGATCCTTTAGCTATATCGTCTATATCTCTTCTAGGGCTTATCAATTAGCATAAAAGCATTTTGCTAAGCGGTGCTTACTGAGCTTATAAGCAAATGGACAAAATTCTTCCTGCTTTCCCCAATACACCTCTGTCTTCCATCTCCTCCTCTTCCCCTTTCTGTTCCTACTCCCCCTTCTCTCTGTCTCCACTCCTCCCTCCCTTCCACCCTCTCCTTCTGCGCTTCCTCTCATACCAGCTAGTCTTCTTGGGCAAAATTGTCAGCCGTATATTTCCCTGCCCATACAGCCTTTATTGAATGCTTGTGAGATCTGGATTAAGGTCTTACACAGCTAGCAAAACCTTAATTATTTTTGCCTGTATTACTATATATCGAATCAATGTAACTTTTCAATAAAGGCAGTTCAATTCTGGACACTCCCTGATGATTTGGAGACACAGCAACCCTGGTAATTATCCTAGAGTGTAGGAGGTTTTCTTATTTTATTTTTTTTCCTGGAGGGAGCTGGAAAATGAATCAGGTGCCTAGTGCATAATATTATCTTGACACTCTGTACTCATCAACTGTAAATGCCTGAGAGATGAGGTGGAGGGTGGGACAATGACACTACATGTATAGCTCTCTGGTAGAAGGAATCTGGCTCAAGGTTTCAACTTGAACTTGTCTATTGCACTCAAAACTCATCAGCCCCTTCCTTTTTTTAGGACCTCAGAGAGTTACCTACAAAGCTTACTAAAAGGGCAGAGTCACTCAAAGAACCAGCTCTACTGCTTGCCGGAAGAATACAGACTTTACGTATTTTTCCTTCTTCCTAGTCTCATGTTGGGCATTGGTGGGCTAGATCTCTGCTGCATGGTGACCCTGACTATTTGCTGGTAGAAACCATAGCCAATAGACAGAAAGCAGAAGTTCATTGGAGAAAAAAAGTAAGCATTTTCGTGGGGGAGGAGGGAAATGGCTTAACGGCATGTTGTCCAATTTTTTGACCTTTGGCATTTCATGGGAAAGCAATAATCCCTCTTCGGTCCAGGTGAGGAGTAAGCATGGGTGAAAGGTGAGAGAGGAATTGCACTATTCTTGTCCCCAGAGAGACAGTGGGCTGTCTGAGCACCAGTTCTAGAGGCAAAATGTCTAGGTCGAGTCATCGGTCACTTGCTCTGTGGCCTTGGGCAGCTACTTCACTGAACATGGTGCTAACGGTGTGGCCTTCCCCTTGGGTCACATGGGAGGCTTGAACAAGACAATTCATGAGAAGTGTTTGGTTCAGTGTCTTGCACGTGGTGCTTAGCGATGCTCAGTGAAGGTCAGCAAGTATTAGAGGGCATTAGTCGCACATGTCCTCTGCAGATGATTAAGAACATCTCATCTTACAAGCTAGAGAAGAACCTTTCCATCAGCCTGTGATCGCCCAACCACCTTAGACCTATTTTCACTCTCCCACCGTCTGTCTCTGAAGATATGAAGTGTCCTTGCAATCCCAGATTCCTTCCTTTGATGACTGCGGGTAGTACATTCAATGTCAGCTTGGTTTTAACCTTGTCCGCATCAATGGACATTGTAATGTTGAGCCTTGTGCTTCTCACTGGCTCCAACATGAGAAAGAGTGGGGGGTCAAGGCCTCTGAAAGGCATCCTTTGTCAATCCCAGCCTTCTCTCTGCTGGTCTGTGTGAAATGTCCCTTACCATTCCTGATCTTTACACAGATCACTTCACAACAACCCTTGTAGATAGCTTTGAGCTTTTCTATTTAACAGCCTAAGAACTGAGGCTCTCAGATGATGATGATTTGTATAGATTCACATAGCCTGGAAGAGAGCTGAGCTAGAACTCTGATAAAGTCTAGTGTTCTTCCAATGGCTGATATCCCTTGAGGTTCTCCTCAGCATTCTCTTTTATTTCTCCACACATTACTTTCTATTTTCATAATTTTTACTACTGTCTACAATCCTAATTTAAGTGCTTCTCTTCTCCTTCCCTCCCTGCCCTCCTCCTTCTTCTAAGGTTCAAATCACCAGAAAATTTTGGAGGAAATTGTAGAATCCAAAAGAGGCTAAAGACCTCATTGTAATTCTATAGAAATGAAACCAGAACCCAAAGCCTGTGCCTACATGTAACCAACTAAATTGTCACTCCTAAAGACAAGATCAAGATTGTGCAGCTCACACAATACCATATACAGATCATGTACTATAAAATTGTACACTTGAAACCTATATAATTTTATTGACCAAAGTAACCCCAATAAATTCAATAAAAATATTTTTACAAAAAAAGAATGTGCACCTCAGCCACTCTCTCAGCCTAAGCATTCTAACCTGTGGTGAGAAGCAGCTCACACAGCTGAGGACCCTAGAGAGGGTCTCCTGGCTATTTTGCTGCTGTTGTCCCAACAGGAAAGCCTCCCTAAGACCCACACAAACTTTTCCAACTCTTTGAGCCAACTCAACCCTGACTGGGTAACACCACAGGGAGCCTTGGGTATACACCCATAGGCAGGGAGGAGATCCCAGGACATGGGAGCCAGTGAAAAATTCATCTTGGCTTCGAGCTAAGAGTTGGGTGGGCCACACAGGTGGGCCTCCCTGGACAGAACAGATGCGGAATATCTGAACAACCAGCTCTACTTCCCCAACTCTATGGTTTGTGAGAGAGGCGGGGGGGCAGGGTGGCAAGGGGAAATCAAGTTATACTTTTCCCCCTCAAAGTGAAACTGAAAATATTTGCAAGAGTTGCCTGGAAGGAGGAAAGGACCACATCCCTCCATCTTCCTCCCACACCTGCAGTCCTCCTTAGCTTTTCTTGAGCCTCTCACACTATACTTCCCCAATGAGACCTGTGTGGCCCCCACTTGGTTTAAGGGACATGACTAAAATCAGAGAACATGGAAAGGGGAGACATCATCACTGGAGTGGCCATGGAGAAGGGGAAGATACAGCAAATATTCAGCAATTGTTGTCATGTCCAAGTCTGAAGACAAAGCCATCATGGAAAAGGTTCTAAACACGGCCTAGCAATGGGATGGAAACCACTACTTTGATAAAAGATGGGCATGTGGAGACACTTAGCTATAAGATGAGCCTGTTTCTCTATGAATCAGATACCTGGATAAACATATATATATATATTTCCCTCAAATACACAGATGTTTCCAACTCTTCACATGTTAGGTGGCATGTAGGTGCAATGGCTTTGTCTAGTTAGAAGAAAAAGAATTTTCAGGGACTCTTGTAAGTGCTGGGCTTTTAGTTCTCATTTGACAGTTTCTCTGTTAAGTCACTTGACTTCGAAGAGACACCATCGCCTCTGATGGTAGGAAGGGAGAGAAACCTAACACACCTTCCAGAGTTCTGCTCAAACACAGCCCGCGATGAAACCTCACAGGTGTCCCCAAAGGATCAGGAAGCCATTCACTATCATAAAGCCCCTAGGCAAGTGGTTCTCAACCTTTGGGTCTCGATCCCTTTGGCGGTCGAACGACCCTTTCCCAGGGGTCGCCTAAGACCATCCTGCATATCAGATATTTACATTACAATTCATAACAGTAGCAACATTACAGTTATGAAGTAGCAACGAAAATAATTTTATGGTTGGGTCACAACATGAGGAACTGTATTTAAAGGGCCAGAAGGTTGAGAACCACTACCCTAGGCAGATGCCGTCCCAGGGATAGCACAGGTCATCCAAGTCTCTGCTGACTGCAGAGGCCTTGATCCACGAAGGGTTAACCAAACCTCTGCCTGCTTTGGTTTCATTCAACACTGCTGGTCATGCATGTTTTCATGTCAAGACATGGGGAACAGCCTAAAAATAATGTGGGTCGTCAGGATCCACAACATTCAGCAGTTTCCAATTTGTTCTTTTGCCGTCAGCTGCCTCCCATTCACACTGAGATGATTAGATTCTCATGTACTCATCACATTTGTGTTACGTCATGTCATATTAGATTTTAAGACATTGCTCAAAATGGGTTTGATGGGTGATCGGTTTTTGTTCTTAGACACAGTATCTTTTTTTCTTCCTTCTCTACAACACCCCAATCAGGCACCTGCTATCAATTTGACTAGCACATCGCCAGAACTCTCAGACCTGGCTGGTGCTCCTGAGGGAGCCTGTGCATTTGTGCCAAGGGAATGTGTACGCACTGCAGATGGTTAGACGAGTAGGTAAGTGGTCATCACCATGTAGCATCCAACCTGGTGATCAGACCTCTACTAGGAAATAGTGAAAAGCCAAGGTGTGGGGAGTCCAGCCACCCCTGGAGGGTATGTTTGGCTCTACCAGTTAATTCTGTGATCATGCAAAGTTGTTCAACTTCTGGTTTCCCCCATCTTGCTCTTGAATGGAGTACTAGCCCAGGTGTAAAGCCATCCACGTACCACCATGAAAACAACAAAGCATCTCTTTGTAAGTAAATTGGCTAGAGACACAGCATAAGGCCGTGCAGTTTGCTCTTACTCTGCTGGCCGGTGGCACATGTACCATACTTACTCCCGGCGTGGGGCCTTGGCTTACCTCTGAATCCATTCCCATTGCCACTGGAGCAGGCGGGCGAAGGGGAGCCTTGGGGCCTGATGACAGGGGCAAAGGCACTCTTCTGTTTGACAGCAGGAAAGACTGAAGAGGAAAATGGGAGGATGGAAGACGTGCTGGACGATCCAACAGTGGGGCTGGATGACATGACTGGAAAGCAAATGCACAATCTTCTTTTAGAGAGAGACATATGGAGAAGTCCTTTCTTCAGTGCATATAAGCCTACACAGTTATTGAGAAATGACTAATTCATTCCAGGTATTGTTCCAGATTCCAGGGATTTAAAAATGTTGAATGTGACAATGCCCCTGCCCTGAGCAATAGACAAGGAGAACAACCAAGAGGGTGATAATTTAATTGGAGGAACATACACAGCTAAGCAGACCTAGCGGGTAGAGTGCCCCTCTGCCTGGGAGAGTCAGGAAGGCATCAGCAGGATGTGATATTATGATAGGTCTTAATTCATGAGTAGAAGCTCAACAAGAGAAGACTGAGACCAAGATCCGAAAAATCACCAAATCTACTCGAGAATGGAAACCTCTTTTTCTCCCTAAAATAAGTCCTGTCTGGGAGCTATCTACTTCCCTGGCAATTCTCAGGGCTCCCGAGTTTTGAGGTATGGGGTAACATCTTCTCGAAGAGTGACATCTCTATGGGCCACTTCCTCATTAAATGTAAAAGTTTATTAACATTTAGGAGATTACTTCCCTCTCCCTCTACTTGCAGAGCTCCTGGGAAATAAAGCTGTGAGTCAGCCTCCTCTGATGTAATGTGAAGGAAAAACACCAATATTAATGTTAAAATTACTTAAAGGAAGCCAAAAGCTAAATGTTGTAACTTCAAAAAATAAAATAAAGTCAATTTACACAATAAAGTGCCCCACCTCTTAACGTCAGATACTCCAAGTTACATCACACAAGAAGATAATTTTTAAAAAATCCTCACCCAAGAATATCTTTTTATTGATTTTAGATAGAGAGGAAGGGAGGAAAGAGAAAAACATTGATGTGAGAGAGAAATACCGGTCCTGTACACACCCAACCTGGGTATTTGCCCTGACCAGTAATTGAACCCATGACCTTTCAGTGTATGGGACAACACTCCAACCAATGAAGCCACACTGGCCAGATTAATGATTTATCTAAAGCTGCTTATCCCTAGGTAGTCTTAATTTTATCTTCTATGTGTAACTTGCTCAAGAAAGGGGTAAACTGATATTCACATGGGTCAAATTGTTCGATATAGCATTTATAATAGAAGGCCAAGCTTCATGGACTCCTTTTAGCATCCTCTCCAGAATTCTGAACTGTCAAAATCATATAACTTGGTAAAAGAATTACTAGAAAACCCCATAGCAAAGCCCACAATAAAGGCTGGCGTGCTAACTAACTTCTGCTTCGGATCTTCAGTGGCCCAGCCTCTCCACAATTAAATTTTGAAAGTTAGGACATGAGTGTGACTTATGGTTCAAAGAACAAGTATAAGGTGAATTGAAGGTCAAATGTTCTGAGGTCCTATGTAAGACTCCATATCACTTTCCCCTCTCTCATTATAAAGATCTACTTTAGTCTACATTCACACATTTGCATGTAGTATAATGCAGTCATACAGCATATCTCCAATATGTTTTTTATAGCCACACTGCATACCAAGTTTTCACTAAAAATGATTTATCTAAAAACTGTTTATCCTTAGGTAGTCCTGATTTAAAGAGCTATGCAGAAGGAAGCATCTGGGTATACTTCTGTCTTTTCTCAAGTAATATGAATTTTTTTAAAAAGCTGGAAAAGAAGACAAAGTCCCAGAAGAATCTCATGTAATACTTAAAGATGAAAATAAAGAAGAGATGGGGCTACCCTGGTGTCGGAGGATAGGGACAGGATTAAGCACTGGGAGTGAGTCCTAGTCATAGTTCCAAGCAAAATCTCCTCTTCTCATCTTGTTTTTAGCAACAATAAAATGTGTGTTGGATCAAGGAAGAGAGGGAACCTCTCTCCTTTCTTCGAGGCACAGAATTAGAGGCTGGAGAAAACTGAGACTCAAGAGGCCCTGACTCTGACCACAGTCCAATCCCTGCCATACTGTGTGACCCATGCAGGCTCCAAAATGGCGCCTTGATCTCTATGTCTGCAATGGAGAACCTCCCCTCATACCCCACAGCAGAGGGGGGCGGTTATAATGTGAATTAGACACACACACACAAACACACACACACACACACACACACACACACACCTGTGTGTGCAATTCCATTTTCCATTCAACATATGACTCACTTTTACAAATATTTCTTTTCTCATAACAGATCCAACCTAAAATGGGTTGATTAGATCAAATGTGACTGCCTCTCAGTGGAAGGGGAGTCACCTGAAGTTTTACTAAATGGCATAAAAGAATTGTTGAGAGTTGAATAAGCAGAGCACTATACCATGCCCACTCAAAATATTTTTTAAATATCCAAATTAGTTTTAAATTTAATGCAAATATAATAAAAATCTTAAAAGGAATTTTAATTTGTAAGGGTCAACAAACATAATTTCTATGTTTATCTGTTTAAAGAAACAACACTACAGGAACCAGAAAGTTTTGTATAAAAATTTTTGAAGTAGTAAGGAGGCATTTATCTTAACATATTAAGAGTTATAATAAATCTACATCAATGAAATAAGTGTTATACTAGCATAAATATAGTTAGACAACTCCTTGGAGAAAATAGAGTCCAGAAACAGACCTGAGTATATATATATGAGAATTAAAATTTAATAAAGGTGACATTTCAAATTAGTGTGGAAATAAATGCTTGGGAACCATACACTACCATTTGGAGACTAAATTTAGAGTGCTTCCTCATGTTAAACTCTAAAGTAAATCTCAGTGCATTAAAGAGTTATTTGCAAAAACGAAATTATAAAGGTGCTAGTGGAAAAATTAGGAAGGTTATATAATTTACATAATCCTTTCAACCCTCAAGTCTACATAAAATGGCAGGAGATAGATTTGCTACAGGACAAAAAACTTCTGTAACACACACAGAAAAGGCAAACGACAAATTAGCAGAAATATTTGTGATAATTATCAGATGTGTTTAAATCCTCAATAGCTAATAAGCTTTTGTAAATTAATTAGAAAATGAAAAACATCCCAAAAGAAAAATGGGCAAAGGACACCAAAAGGGAAGTCACAGAGTGAAAAATGAAAATGACCAAAAGACCTTCATAGACTTATAAATGTTCACACTGATTCGTAATCAAATGCAAATTAAAACAGTACTGAGCTGTTGTTTTCCAGTTATCAAATTGGTAAAGATTAAGAAGAAATTAACAGGGCAGGGAATTAGGTCCTTTCCTAAGGGGCAGTGACCTCTCTGGAGGGACTTTGGCAATAAGTACCAAGGTATTTGTGATTTTAAATGTGCATATTTTTTAGCCCAGCAATTTAATTTCTAGAAGTTAACTGCAAGGGAATAATCATAAATGTGCAAAAACTAGATCCAAGGGCATTTTTATACTTCTGAAAAAGTGGGACATAACTGAAGTGATCATCAATAAGGTCCATGAAACGGACCACTATGGAAACTAATGTTGGACAAGAATATTGAATGACATGGAAAGATATGCCTAATAAAGCAGATTAAATAATAACATATATGTCAAATCCACTTTTTAAAAAACATATGGAGCAAAAGTCAGGATGTGATTTATGTCCAAACTTTTTTTAACCTCATCAAAAGATATGTTTATATTGAGAGAGGAAGAGAGGGAGAGGGAGAGAGAGAGAGAAACATCTACATGAGATAGGAACATTGATTGGTTGCCTCTTATACACACCCCGACTGGGGATCAAACAGGAAACTCAGGTATGTGCCCTGACTGGGAATCGATCCCAAAACCTTTGGTGTACAGGATGATGCTCTAACCAATTGAGCCACCTGAGCAGGGCTACATCCAAACTTTTAATGATATACATATCTCTGACTGATGGGATTAAGAATATTCTTAAATTTATTCCTTTTACTTGTCCATATTTTCAAAATTTTCTACAATGAACAGGTATTACTTTTGATGTAAGAGAAACCAGTAAAAGCTATTAAAATAAACAAATGGAAAATCTCTATTTCTTTGGTAAAAAAAAATAATATAATTTTTAGCAATAGCTGTCTTGGATGTCAATGTTTCTCTTAGATTTAAGGCTTTCCTTCCTGTAAAATAGGTTTTCTGTTTACCTTCTGTCACAGAAAAGCAGAGACTAATAAATTTTCAAATTCCTGGGGAAAGCTTGTTGATTGTAGTTAACTTTGCAAAGCAAACATCACTGCTAATGTGTAGGACACAGGCCTGAATCGACAGGTTTTACGGAGCCTAGCTTCATATCTGTGACTTGGCTAATTTTGCCACTTTCCTTCTCCTCTTTCACTGGTCTTATGGCAGAAAATCATTAGTTGTGCATCAGAACAGACACTGCAATTTTCAAAATGTGTCTATCCATGGCTGGAAGGCTGTACTTTAAAAGTTAACAGTGGTTATCTTTGCATAGAAATAAAAGGTGTCATTTTCCCCCTTTTTACATATACATGCTTTTCTAATTATCTATAATGAGCATGTTACTATTGTAATTGGACATTTTTTCTTTCTTGAAGAAAAAGACAAAAGAAATATATCAAAATGTTAACAAGGTTTTAAAAAAATTTTTAAATTGAGTTTTAGAGAGAGACGAAGGGAGAGGGAGAGAGAGAAACATTAATGTGAAAGCTAAACATCGATCAGCTGTCTCCTTGTACACCCCCTACTGGGAATCGAACCCACAATTCAGGCATGTGCTCTGACAGGGAAATGAACAGGCAACCTTTCGGTGCACATGACGATGCCCAACCAACTGAATCACACTGGCGAGGGCAACAATGTTGTTTTATTTATGGTGAGAGTAGGTTTTCTTTTTAAAACTATTTTCATGGGCTCCAATTTTTCTATAAAAATCATTTAATAATCTACAATAACAAGTATCTTGATATTTATTTTTGAAAATATAAAAGTATTGAGGCTCAGGGCATAGTCTAAGACTGTGGTCGGCAAACTGCAGCTCTCGAGCCACATGCGGTTCTTTAGCCCCTTGAGTGTGGCTCTTCCACAAAATACCACGTGCAGGCGTGCGTACAGTGCGATTGAAACTTCGTGGCTCATGTGCAGAAGTCGGTTTTCGGCCTGGGTGAGTCTATTTTGAAGAAGTACTGTTGATATTTGGCTCTGTTGACTAATGAGTTTGCCGACCACTGGTCTAAGACTATGTGAGTAAAGTAGGAGTCTCTGAGGACAGGTTGGATTTTTGTCTTATGGATTTTGTTCCAAAATTTTGGATTTGCTTGGTGGCTATTCTGCTTTGGAAGAAGTGGCCCTGGGTGTTGCAGTTTGAGTAGGCCATCTTTGGGGATACCAGAGTGCACCGATTTGGGAAAGTTGATCATATGTACCATTGAGAATTTCTCTGGACATCTCTCTCTATGGATAAAGGCCAAAGTAAAGGCCAGCACTGCTGGCCCAGAAATCTCTGTGAACATGGGGAGTTAGGGAAAAACCACTTTTCTTCTTCTAAGGATTGATTGGCTTGCACGGTCCCAGCTGGACCTCAGTGGGCACACATCCTCCTTTGCATCGAGCCATTGCATTTGCTGGCACTCAGGGGTCTGTCAGCATTTCATTATAACCCCCTATTGTCAGGGGTTTAGAATTCAGCCATAAAAACTTGCACTGAGCTGGAACTTGGCACACACTGCTACCGCCAGGAAGTGAAGTTTGTATGTGAAATTGAAAAAACATCTGTTTGGCCATTTTTGAAGTTGTGTGAGAGCAAAAGCAGTAAAGATGCAGGTTTTTGATACTCTGCATTGGCCATAATGTAAGTCAACTTGACCAAAAGACTTGGCTTTATTTCTTTTTAATGTCTCTAGCAAGTGATTGTTCCATGGCCTGGCCTGGCCACATCAGACTATTTTTTTTTAGTTTAAAAAATAAAATGAAAAATTATAGAATGCTGTTTTCAGACACATGCACCTGAACTGATAAAAATCCTTTAATCCTTTCCCTTTTTTTGTATTTGCCAGAGATGTTAAGACTTAGTGGTTAGAAATTAGAAAGACAGGTCAGATATTATTGTGATGAACTCCACAGGGTATTTCGTAATTTAGCAATAGAGGATTTTATTGTAATGAATTAATGAATGCACTGTTTGGTTTCCCATTCTCAGTCTGAAACTCCTTCAGACCCTCCCTCAGAAAATGAAGGTGCAAGGACCACACACACCCAGTAGGAGCTAGGAGGAGGTTCTTGGCTATGTTTCCCACTCCTGTTGGGCAGGGCATCTTCCTCTTTCTATTCTGTGTATGCTGTCTTCCTTACTTGTTGTTGTTGTTAATCCTCACCTGAGGATATTTTCTCCATTGCTATTTAGAGAGAGTGTAAGGGAGGGAAGGAGAGAGGGAGGGAGAGAGAGAGAGAGAGAGAGAGAGAGAGAGAGAGAGAGAGAGAGAGAAACATCGACGTGAGAGAAACACATCAACTGGTTGCCCCCCACAGGGAGTGAACCTGCAATCCAGGTATGTGCTCTCAACCAGGAATCAAACCCATAACCCTTTCGTGTATGGGTTGATGCTCTAACCATTGACCCATGCCAACCAGGGCACTGTCTTGTTTACTTTGAAGACTTTGAGTTTATTATTTTTCCTGTGGCATGGGATTGAGTGATCAAGAAAGGGTAGTGAAAGTAAGGTGTCAGTTGCTGGTATAGGAAGGGTTCCTCCTTATCAAATGAATTATGGAAAAGAAATATCAGGCATTTTCATTTATCTATCCATAATCTATGTTTGACTGTATATCTATCTACCTATCTATCTATCATCTATCTATCCTCTCCCTCCCAACTTTCTCTTACACTGCACACTATATTATTATATATGTTTTTATTGATTTTAACATTTGTATATGTTTTTATTGATTTTAGAGAGAGAGGAAGAAAGAGAAAGTGAGAGGTTACCTCCCATATGCATCTGGACTGGGGATCCAACTTGCAACTTGGGCATATGCCCTGACCAATAATTGAACCCGCCACCCTTTGGTGCACAGGACAATGCTCCAACCTACTGAGCCACACCAACCAGGGCTTGACCAATTTTGATCTACAAAAATGACAATTTCATATGGTTCAACCAAATACACACATTTTATTCATAAATGTATGCTTGAACATGTGATATTCATTTCATATGTTTCAGCCTAATAATGTATTATAAATATGTGAAATATTTCTTACATTATTGAATAATTTAAAAACTTGGTATTCTGGATCTGATGACTTGTTCTAGTCTCGCTTTTGCTATTTATTAGCAATCCTTGAGTAAGTGATTTAATAATGATTAATATCTTAGAGGAGAAATTATGATAATTATAATTATTACCATTATTATATCCACATCATAAGGGTGTTGTGAGGATCTGACTGGACTGTACATGTGACAAGCCTGATAAGCTGTTAAATTGGAATGCAATTATGAATTCCTCTTATTGTTGTCACCACTGATAGGGGACATGATTTACATAATGGCTCTCTTGCCCTCTACCACTTGTAGGGGCTGTTGACGACGTGTTCCGTTCTGCACACAGGTCCCCTCTCCACAAGGATGCAGGAAGAAACCTCTACTAGGTCTTGGCAACAGAAAATTCAAGTTTCTCCTGAGCTACTAAAAATATACGGTGGACACTAATGCTTATAGCAAATAGCTCCTCTCTTTGCTTTACCATCTTGTAAGTCTCTGAACCAAAATAACGGCTCCCTTGAATGACTGAATGGCATCCATACCTGTCCTTGGCTTCATCTAATTTTCCTATCCATATTTTTTCTTTTATCTCAGTTTCTTACATTTTCTATCTTCTACTTTCATAATACCCATCTGGCCACTACAATTCCCCCATTTTTGAAACAAGATAAGGTAAAAAAAAAAAAGCGAAGAAATAAATCAAGCAAAAGTTTGTTTTTCTAGTTCATTCTGGTCTAGTTGATCTGGATCATACAACACAGAACTCATGTCATCAGATTTTAGTGGTACTAGAAGAACCAACCTCTACTGTCTCTGCTCCCTGGTTGCTGTGTCCTTATCATATTCAGTAGGGTGCTGAGTGTGATGAGTCAAACACATATCCCAGAAAGAATTCATGGGTGTGTATCAATAGGGAACCATAGACCCAAAGGCTGAGTGGCAGCCTCCAGATCCTTGGCATGTCACTTCCTGAGCTGTGGTGGAAGGGGCTGTGTGCCGACCTTGACGCGCCCTTGTTCCTGGCATGAGGGAACCAGTCTGGAATGGAGGATCTGCTGCAAAGCCTGCCACAGGATCTAACATTTCAAGAACACCCCACTCAATCACTGAGACTCTCCATGGTGGCTTCTCTCCTGGCCTGAAGTATCCCCTAAGTAGGTTTGAAAAACACATGTTCTCTTAGCTTGTGTAAGTTCCCAGTTTAGCCCTGAAAGCAAGCTGAGTGAGTTTTCATAACTTCCTGGAACATCTAGCTTGCTGCTAGCCCATAGGTCAAGATTAGGAGGTTCTGTCTCTCCATTCATCTATTGATGGCCCTGGTTGCTTCCATATCTTGGTTATTATAAATAATGCTGCAGTGAACACAAGGGTGCATATATTTTTTAAATTAGTGGTTTTGTTTTTCTGGCTAAATACCCAAAAGTGGAATTCCTGGGCCATGATAAGTTTGCACAATGACAGATGACTAGACTTGGTGTGGTAATCACACTGTAAGGTATATAAATATTGTACGTCTGAAATCAATGTAATATTGTACACCAACCATACTTAAATTTTTTAAAAGTTTTATCTCCATGTATCACTCTCACAAGTTGTCAAATCCATCTCTCTAGAACAGCAACTTTTACACAGTGTGCCACAAGAATTTTAAAAACATGCAATACCTGACCATTTAGTCAGGGGCACTGACCTATTTTCCCTTAGATTGTCAAATAAAAAAATGGCAACAGCCAACATAACAATAGCCGTCTGGTTGAATGAATCAAAATTATACTTTTTTTGTCAGATCAGCAAAAAATATATATATATATTTTATGTGCCGCAGTGTTTTAGTAATTAGTTTATGTGTGCCATAAGATGAAAGGAGTTGAAAATCGCTGCTCTGGATGGAGGAGAGAGCCATGTAACACAGTAAAAAGGGAGCCTGGTGGGATGCACAGAATAACGTGAAGTCATAACTTCTATGTTGAAATGATTACCCTGCCCTATGCCAGCTGTGTGGTCGCAGGTAAGTCAGTGATTTGCTGTGCACCTAAACCTCCTCACCTGGAACAATGGGATAATAATACCGACCTCAGAAAGTTCTTATGAGGATTAAATAAAACATCACATCTGAAAACCCCTGGTGAAGAGTATACATTACCTTCACGGAATCTGAATTCCTCTCCTCTATCTACACAAGCTACATATGCTCTTTCTCTGTTTAAAAAAAGGAAACACTCTTTCCTCTTCCCTCATCTGCGCGGTCCCCCCAACCCCCCCGCCCCAAGACTTGGAGTAACCAAAGGAGCCTAAGTCTAGCGAAGGGAAAAGAACAAGGCAGGAAGGAAAGGAATTGGGCTCTTCCTTCATGGGGCAGTGAGATGTAGGAAGGAGGGCAACTCTCCCTCAAAAGGCTGAACAGTAAAACCCAGGGACAGAGACAGGGAGAGGCAGACAGTGGAGAGGGAACTTACTTCCATAAGGGGAGCCTGTGGGGGAGCCGTTTAGAAATCCTGGTGACCCTGGAACGCCCAGGTTGGCCATGGGGACGTTGCTGTAGCCATTCATACTGTTACTGGAGGTGCTGTAATTAGACTGCTGAGGGGTAGAGCTGGAAGAGTAGCCCCGAGGAGAGATGCTGCTTGTGTTGCGGATGTAACCTGGACAACCAAGAAAAGCCCGGGTCAATGAACCAATGCGCACACGTAGTGCAGAGCAAACATGGCAGCACAGATCCACATCAGCCCAGACTACAGAGCACCACCAACCTGATCCTGGACGGGGTGGAAAGTGCGCATCTTACCTTCATCCTTTAATACTTCCTTTCCCTTCCCCATCCTACCCAAGGCCATGTCCCTCGCAGTCCCTCCTTCATCTGCTTTTACATTTGCAGTCAACCTCACCAACTCATACCAAGGAATGACTAATGGCAGTGTATACTGACATCTCCCAAATCATATTTCATATAACACTAGAGCCCTATGAGATATTAGTAAGTATCACTGAGAAAAGCATTGTGTGGTCAAAGTGTGGCAGATGTTGCATACTGTAGCCATTCTTCGAAGATTGGCATATGAGGGACCTAGAGAATACCTAAACTAATTTAACTTTGCTAACCTAGTACTTCCCAAATTAAACACACCATAGCATCTGTTCTGGGAGTGGTGGGGAAAAGGCATTCTGATAACACCTCAAGGGCCACTAGTATTCTACATGTCACAGCTTTGGGAATGCTCAAATTTGTTGGCATGCCCTGGGTGGGGTTGGGAAACATTTTCATTCAAAAAGTGTTGATAAGCTCATTTAAATGTGCTGTTCTTTTTTTTAAATATATTTTATTGATTTTTTTACAGAGAGGAAGGGAGAGGGATAGAGAGTTAGAAAAATCTATGAGAGAGAAACATCAATCAGCTGCCTCCTGCACGCCCCCTATTGGGGATGTGCCCGCAACCCAGGTACATGCCCTTGACCGGAATTGAACCTGGGACCCTTCAGTCCACAGGCCGATGCTCTATCCACTGAGCCAAACCAGTCAGGGCAAAATGTGCTGTTCTTTGACCAAAGACTTGGAAACATCAGCAGTGGAGTTTGGGTAAATCCAGCCTCTAAGAGGGATAAGGGAAGGGACAGTGAGTCCTCCTCATACTTCTAAAACCCTAGCACAGAGACATCACCTAACCTATCCTGAAGTCACCCACTTTGAGGAAACTGTCTTTAGAACTATTTAAGAAATAACCAAAATTCGGGAAAAAAAAAGTAATATACCTCACCCACCCTTCTGCAAGAAATCACCCTGGACATAGAAATGAGGAGTTTCCATCCAATGGGTGAACAAAATTAGAAATAAAATTACCTCAAGGTTAGAGACATTATTAAGAATATTTACATCTAAAAATGATTTATGACAAATTTAGCACCGTTCAACCTCAATGACAAAATTATTTACATGATATACTTTATATGTAAAAGCACAATTAACTGTATAAACTGGTTGCTATTTTTTTGTATCTGAGGTAATACACAAAAAGAAGTTGCCAAATAAAACCAAGCTATTCACCCTTGGTTACTAGGAAGAGAGAGTTGTGTATAACAAAAAATAATGTCAATAAATCAGCTTCTTTCCATTATTCAGTCTGATGATCAAAATGGTAGAAGTATAAATTTTATTCAAATAATACCTGTAAATCTGATTCAGTAAGCCTAAGCTTTTCTAAAATCATAATAATCAGTCTGGTCCTTAAGTATTTCCAGGTAAAGGCATTCTACCTGTTACCAAAAAAACTAAAAATCTAATAATACACCACTTATAATCTTGAGATAACCCAATAGTATGTGATTGCATTGCTTATCTGGGGACACACTCTTTTGATGGTATCTAAACCAAATTTTAGCTCCTTGCACTCAAGCAGACTAACCTTCTAAATGTATAAATTGTTTGGATTTTGACTCTGAGAAAGGTAGTACCTTGATTATTTCCCTGTGTTGACTCTGAGATGCTGACCCCAAGTTGGCTGCCATAAGAATTGATGCCCATCATGCCACTGTGAGCTGGAGAGCTGGAGAGAGCTGGGATCTGGCTGGGATTCCGGGGGACACTGTAGAGGGCTTCAGCAATATCTGCGGCTCGCTTCAAAATGATGTCCTACGGGGAGAAGGGGGTAAAATCATGTCCTGCAAAGTGGCAGGTTGAGGTGAGCATTTCATCAGGAGTCAAACGCGGTATAGAGTATGGATGTGAGCTCCTAACCTGGTTATTGTGTGGTGTGCCGTAGAGGGCCTCCACGAGATCCGCAGCTCTTTTCAACAGCATTTCCTAGAAAGAAAAGAAAGAGTGGGGTATACGCAAAGGAAGAACCCCAAATGGCAAACAGAAAGGAAAATTATGTATAAAAATAAAACATCCAGACATCCCCCTAAAATGTAAATAACTAGCCAAGAAGTCCTATGTTTGGTTTGAGAGGTAGAATATCATACATATAAATCCCTCTATAAATATGTATCTACATGGAATTCCTCTAGATAAAACGGATCCATAAAATGTGGTGCAACCAAAACAGAGAACAACCAAATCGGGGGTAGAGTTGGTTAAAATTAATAATGTAATGAAAGTTTTATTAAGAACTACTTTCCAGGCCATTTCATTAAAAAACCTGGTACTCTCTCTAATTAATCAAGTATTCTGAAAATGATTGATTGGCCTGTGTTTAGCTGCTTGCCAAGGAGTTGTCCATAGTACTGAAATTATCTTGGCAATGCCTTCTGCAAAATTTTATTCTAATAAAGATGAATTCTTCCAATAATATTTCCCCCTGTTCATTTTAACCAGAGAGAATTGGTATTCAGTAATCCCTTTCCTCTCATTTTGTCTTTTCCACCTCCTGTTTTTAACAGCCTTTTAAATTGCTATTAACCTACTTTCCAGATATCACCTAATTTAATAGTGGGGCTGGGGATTTTTCCAACTGGAAATAAAAGTATGATGTAGAAGCAACTGTGGTACTTAAATTTTACTCACAGTAGAGAAAACAGAGCATAGCATATTATAATGTGTGTGCGTAAAATGCAAACATAAATGTTAAAATGTATTAATTCCCAATTAATTGAATACCTAATAGATTGATGTATTTTTAAAAAGAAAGCTAAAATAGTGGAATAGATTTATGATATAATTTTCATAAGCAAATTCATTTAAAAGTGATGCGTTCCCTATAAATTGTAGATGGAGGGGTTTTTCACTTCATTAAATGCCTGTATACATAGTAAGTCCTCAATGAATACTTGATTGAGGACTAATGTGTCCCTGTAATTATGTGTAAATAAAATTATATTTAAATACAAAGGAGTGAGAAATTACAGTTTTAAGCAATTATACAATTATTCATTTTCATCAAGTTGGCAGTGTTTTATAAGCTGAATACTCATAGTGTATCTGTTTTATAGGCCCAAGTTTTCAGATTTCATATTTCCTCAGAGATTAATCATCTTATATTTCACAGTTAGTAAATATTTTATGTGCATCTTGTATCTAAAGCTTAGCCAAATTTCAAGACCTAACTTAATTTTAGAGGGATTTAAGGTTCTGTATTTATCTAAATTTGCTGAAATCCTACAAGACGGTTTTCACATGTTAATTTTCGAAGTGTTTTACCTTAGCTAATCTCTCAGGATCTCCAGGATGCCTTGGGATGACTTTCTGCAGCCTCTGGAAGCCGTAGTCTATGGTGGGTTCATTTAATGCTGAAAAAGAAAAGTCCTCTTTTTTTTAGTATGAATCCTCTCCACAAAACAAACTTCTAATTAAATCTTCTGCAGGTAATAGAAAGGTTCTGATATTACCTGTCTAAGAATTGATACATAATGATACAATCAGTTAAAGATTTTTGCTATCGACATTGGTTAATTCACACATATCTTTGGAGTTAATGGTAATTTAATGCTTTTTTCCCCATTAGAATGATTGCAAAATTTCAGAATTATTAAAATTATTTTATAACTTCTGCCTTAAGTGCACACACTTGTAATCCTCTGCTCAGTCTTACATAATCAGAAATATTACACAATAAACTCTTCCCCAGTTTCTGAAGACAACAAACGACCTTTACATGCTTCTTCCTTCCTCCCATCTTCTCTTTGCCAAGTATACCTTTATCTCCTATTAGTTCTTCTCCAAATATCATTTTTTTCATATATACATATATATATGAACTTCCCATGGGTTTATTCTCATTAAGCCCTGTTCTTATGCATAATACACTTTCCGATTATATTTCCAATTATATTTCATCACATGAACATTTGTTTAATGTCAGCTCCACCATATACTGCAAATTCCATACTTGTTTTGCTTTACCGCTGTGTTCCCGCTGCTGAAAACAGTGCTTGGCACACAGCAGGCACTTCGTGTCAACAATAGTCAAGTGAGTGAATAAATGAGTGAATGAATGACATATTTCAGCATTTCTACTATGCTAGAGTTTTTGAAGTAGATTCCTTTAACCTTCTTCCTCTCTTCCTTTCAGTTTTAAGTTTGTGGTTTAAATTTTGTGGTTTTGAAATTAATGCATGATAAAAGTAAAGAAAAAAAGATACAAAAAATAAAGCAATAATCACCTGCTCTCCCGTTAGGCAGCAGTAAACACAGTTCCTTTTTAACCTTCCTTTCTGCATACATTTTATGAATATTTGTTGCTATTACTCTAGCAAAACCACACCTCTTATTTAAAAATATAAAAAATTTTGAGTATCGAAGTAAAAACAAAATTACTCATAACCTCATCAGTTTAGAAATGATGTGGGTTAACATTTTTGCTTATATCCGTCCACATATAACACACACATACTTAAAATTATTCAGACATACTATTCACACTGGTACATAACCTACTTTTATCTATTTAACAATATAGCAAACTTTCTCCCAGGTTATTAAATAATATTTTATAACATTATTTAATATCCCTGTGTATTTTCACTATATAGTATATAACTTATTTAAATAGTTTCCTAATGTTAGCATTTAACATGATCCTAATTTCTCACTATTGTAAAAATCAGAGCAATAATTATTCTTTGCACATAGCTTTAATTATTTCAATTGGAAAATTTCAAGAATTAGAATTACTTGACCAAAATTTATCATTATATTAAGGCCTTTCACACATACTGTTAATCACTCCTCAGAAGAATGTACAAATTTATACTCCCTTCAGCAATGCATGTCGTCATTTTAACTTACATTCGTTTATTCATCAGTGAAGTTGAATTTTTTTTCTGTACTTGGTGATTTTAATTTCTTCTCTTATGAACTACTTATTAATAGTTTCTGCTCTCTTTTCTATTGGGGATTAGTCTTTTTTTTTACTTGTAAAAACACTTTTAAGTTAGTATTTTTAACACTCTGTCACTTTACAATAACATATCCCAATGTGTTCATAGGTATTATATGTAGAAAGATCACAGACCATCCCAACTCCAAATCTGGTTAGTACACACACACACACACACACACACACACACACACACACACACTATGTGTGCTCGTGTTTACAGATTCATACATATGAGAGTTCTTCTTTAGGTCCAACAACAAAATGTGCACTGCTCATCATGTAGGTAATACGTTTTTGGTTGCTCACTTTTATTTTTTGCTATGTATTTCATTTTTTGTTGTTTTTTATTATGACTATGATTACCCTCTCATCACGTTTGCTAAGAGTTTTCCTAGAACCTAAAATCACTTTAGGTTTTTATATGTCTGTGCAGACAGTATTATGAGAGTAGTGTGGCAATATATGGCATAGTCATTAATAGAATCAGCTTTACGCCCAGCCGGCACGGCTCAGTGATTGAGCATCTACCTGTGAACCAGGAGGTCATGGTTTGATTCCCGGTCAGGGCACATGCCCGGGTTGCAGGCTCAATCCCCAGTGTGCAGGAGGCAGCCACTCAATGATTCTCTCTCATCTTTGATGTTTCTATGTCTCTCTCCCTCTCCCTTCTTCTCTGAAATCAATAAAAATATATTTTTTTAAAAAAAGAGAATCAGCTTTAGATCGTGATCATTAATTTTTCGAGCTTCTGTTTATAATTCATCTTATGAGTTTGCCATCAAAATTAAATGAAACAATTTATATGATGCCCCAGCACAGTTCTTGGCACATAAAAGATCTTAATTGTAGCTACCTGTTATTTTGAATCCAAATCCCTGACAGATGTCATTATTTTTTTTGTTCATTCTTAAGCTTGTACATTAATAGCATCTATATGTTATGACCATTTTATCTCCTGTTGATGGACATGATCCCATTTAATTATTTTAATCCCATTCTTGTGTTGGCTAAAACTTCCCAAATAGTGTCTGAAAATGAGGATGGGGTAGATATTTTTGCTTGCTGTCCTCTAAATGACACTAATGTTTCACCACCAAATGTGGTGATGGCTATTCGAGACAGATATTAGCATGCTTTGATAAGAGATTTTATCAGAACTTACTAGAATTTCAGAAAATTACAATCATATTAATCTTCTCCCAATATTTCCACAATTAAATGTTTATTCATGAGTGTGGAATATAATTTACTTAGTATATTTATGGATTCAATTTGTTAATATTTTCTTAAGACTATTGGTGTGAAGATTAAATCAATTAAATTACCGAGAATAGTGCCTAACACATATTGTCAGCAAATGTCAGTTATTATTATTGTTGCTGGGAATTTGTGTCTATATCAATAACTGGGATTGTGCTCATGGTGCTATCCAGCCTCTGATTGATTTTTATTTTATACCAGCTTTGAACAGTAAATTGAAAAGCTTTCTATATTTTATCTTATGCTCCATAAAACTTTTATAGCATGGATATTACTTCTTGACCAAAAGTTTGAAAGAACCCCAATGAAATTGCTCTGTCAAAGTCACTGAATAACATTTTAGCCAAACCAAGAGGCACTTTTCCATTCTTATCTTAAACTCAAGTTAGCATTTAACACGGAAATACTTCAATCCATGTGCTTTCCAGAATACACCTGCCCAGTGTCACTCTACGTCCCTCGCGATGCTCTCAGCCTGCTTACAGGACTGCTCTTCCTCAGTGTCTTGCAGATGGGATGCTCTTCACCACAGTTGCCAAGACAGTCTTCTGCTCAGCTACACAACTCCTGCTCGAGCCTCATCAGTGCCCCCATGATTTCCTTGTCAAGTCAGATGCTGACTATCACAAATCTTTATGTCCAGTGCAGTTCATTTGCCTAAGATTCAGCCTATCTATTCCAACTATTGGCTGGAAATTATACTTGGATGTCCCCTAGACTCTGCCCACTCAAGATACCCCAAGTCCAAGAGATTTTCAGTAAATTGTCCATCAGCTTGCCAATGGAAAACCTTGGAATCATTCTTGATATCTCATTATAATTGTATTTTTTAGGAAAATCATGCATATCATCAATATTTTAAATGTTCTAATATTGATTCTACTATAGTAATTTGTGTAAAATTCAAATCCTCTATTTCTGATTCTCCCCCAACTCTTTGTTGTAACTTTCTTAATAGCCATATTTCTAATTTTATCTTTCTTTTGTTTCCAAGAGAATATCCTAAAATTTCTAGGTGATTAGGTATTAAATTGTTAATTATTTATTCTAGTTAATTGGATTGGATTTTTAAAAGGTGGCTTAGAGAATATCTGTGTTTTGGAATTTATTAAGTGTTTTATGAATTAATATATATTAGTCTGTGTTCTGTGGCTAATGCTTCAAATATATTATTTAATATATCTTTTGATCACATTATTTAACATATTTTATACATAATTGCTACTATAAATTTATCCTTCCACATATCCCTGTCTTTCTAATAGTTTTTCGTGTATATATTTTCCTCTAGTGATTAGGAAGATACACATCCTATTTTAATATAAAGCAATACCTTTAGAGTTCTTAAAAAATATTTTATCTTTTCTAATTACATGAGTCTGTTGAGCTTTCATATATATATATATATATATTTGCTTACCTTTAATTTCCTGACCTCAATCTCTTTACTTTTATGTGAATACTACCTCCCTCATTGTTATGTTTTGTTGAAAATATCCTCCTCTATATTCGGGGGAGAGGGGGGCAGATTACACATTTGCATTCACATTACCATCTTACCCAGAAACACATGTGAGAAGACCCGGGTGTATAATCAGAATCATTCTCTAAACTTGTTTTCACCACTTAGCATTATAATAACAGCAATTTCTGCAGTCTTTTTCTTTTAAAAAAAATAAATCTTTATTGTTCAGATTATTACGGTTGTTCCTCTCCCCCACAGCCAGCTCCCCTCCACCCAGTTCCCACCCCTTCCCCTGCCTTTACCCCCCTCCCACTGACCTGTCCATAGGAGTACGATTTTTGTCCAGTCTCTTCCCGCACCCCCCACACCCTCGTCCCCCCAAGAATTGTCAGTCCGCTCCCTTTCTATGCCCCTGATTCTATTCTATTCACCAGTTTATTCTGTTCATCAGATTTTTTATTCACTTGATTTTTAGATTCACCTGTTGATAGATATGTATTTGTTGTCACTTTGTTGTTCATAATTTTTATCTTTACCTTTTTCTTCTTCTTCCTCTTCTTAAAGAATACCCTTCAGCATTTCATATAATACTGGTTTGGCAGTGATGAACTCCTTTAGCTTTTTCTTGTCTGTGAAGCTCTTTATCTGACCTTCAATTCTAAATGATAGCTTTGCTGGGTAGA